GGGCTCGGGGTGGGCTGAGGAGCCCCAAAATACACCTAAAGATGGGGGACCAAGCTGCTCGCCGGCATTCAGCGGCTGCGGCGTCACACCGGGGGACGGTTCGGGAGGGAGCCGGGCACTCAGCTCTGGCACCTGGGACATGGTGGTGGCTGCTTGAAGTTGGGATGGAGTCGTGGTTACAAAGAGCCTGTTTGCCGCTCAGGGCTTTGGGGGTTCACTAGGCAGTCGTTCTGGAGAGTGGATGCGCTCGAGGTCGTGGGTCCTTGGCCTCCTGATGTCCTCAAACTGCAGCTAAATCATGCAGTGTTAGTCACACCTCCTAGAAGAGCCCGTGGCCGGTTGCTTTGGTTTTATGCAGCGTACGGTAATCGCCCCAGGAGCAGTACTTTGCCCTAATTCATTACCCTCCCGGAGGAACACCAGCATGTTCTTTTTGGGTCAGCCTAGCTCTGTCCTTCTGACTCTGAGCTAAACCCGGGAGCAAAGGAGTGGAGCAGGACCCCCGTGGGGTCAAATGCCTGTGCACGGGTGCAGTGATCGGGACCTCATAGCGTCGGATCCTCAAACTGTATTGCACAAGTACATGGCCCGTGCTCCGGAGATTTGCTTTGCCACTCTGCCCTCCCGATCCCGGCTCTGGCATCCAGCCGCTCGGCCGAGCCTCCGTGCAGCGGCAAGGCCAAAGCGCTGCGTCGTGCTCGCCGTTTGATAACGCCTCGTTTCTGGCTACGTGAGTTATAACAGGGAAGCGCAGCCCGTGGATGAGGTTTTGGACTGGACGGGGTCTGCCGAGTCAGTTTGTGAGCGGCCACGCGCTTTCCCACCAACGTCCTTGGTTAATAAGCTCCATCATGGGCCGGTGCAGATCCAGTGCCATCTGCGAGAGAGCTGCCTTGGTGTAATTTGGGTGAGAGCTTTGTTAGTTCAAATGAGACTTCTGTTCTGCTTGTTTTCATCCTGGGATTCCCTTCGGCTGGAAGTGAGGAGGGAGGGCGAGATGGATCCCTCCCCGCAGACCCGAGGCAGGAGCTGGGCGTGCAGGCAGGCGGCAAGCTGGGCGCGCAGGCAGGCGGCAAAGAAAGGTCTGGAGGTTGTGGCTGAGGTTAAGCTGTCCAGGAGGAGGAGGCCACAAGAGGACACCTTGACGCAAGACTGGGGCTTTCTGAGGGGTCTGCAGCTGGAAATGGTAAATGTCAGAATTAAAAATGACCCGTCAGGTGATTGCTCACGGTAAAACAGGCTGGAAGGCAACTTCCAGCCCGCTGCCCTTTTCCAGGGGAAGTGGAAGAGCAGCTCTTCTCATCCAGCCTCCGTCTCTCCTTCCTTCCAGGGACAAGGAGAGCCAGCACCTTCCCAAAGTTATCCCTGACTGCCGTTAGGTTCTCTCACAACTTTTGGGGTTTGTTTAATTGGAGTGCTTGGAAAAAAACCAAAGTCCCAAAGGTGTGCAAGCTCGGAGGGAGCGCGTCTGTTGCCTCTCCCGGCAATAGCAATGCTGAGCGCTGTGACCGGCGGCTTTTCAGAGGAGGGATTCCTCCTTCGTTACCTTTGATGGGGAGGGAGGGAATGAGTTTCCAATTTAATGTGTGCGGGGGAGGTCCTGTTTTGCTTTGGGGGGGAGTCGTGAAGCTTCGAAGCTCCTTTTCCTCCCCTTTCCCCTTCCTTTTGGGTGAGGGGTCCTGTGCACAAACACTCCTCTCTCAGAGAGGGCGAGCAAAGGTGTCGTGGATCATCTTAACGTATAGACTTGCCTCTGCCAAGCTAAAACCCATTGGCCGTGCATCAAAAGTTCTAATTGCAGGAGGAAATCTTCAGTTAGCTTGCAGCTTTGAAGCGTTTACATCCTTTACCTGACCCAGCCGGGCGCCGGTTTTCAGTGCCGGAGGTTCGAGCGGAGGTTTCCCGAGGCCGTGGCTCTGCACGTCCCCGTGCCGTGCACCAACCCGGCTGCAAAGCTTTTCCCCGCTGGTATTACTGGTGCAAAAGGGCTTTGAGCTCCGTGTCGGCGACGCAGTGGCTGTGCCGCTGCTCTGAGCCCGAGCTGCTGCCGAGCTGCGCTCTCTGCGGGGCTCCCTCGGCCGTCTGAAACCCGACTCTCTTTTTCAGAGACTTTTTCTTGACCTACGCTGCCCGTAAATAGAGCGTGTGCCCCGTAGGTGAGCGCGCCGACCTTCCTGTCCTGACATCTGACATTTTCTCGCCGTGTTGCGGGAAGGGGGGAAAGGTTTCAACAGGCACCTTGGGTTTTGAGCGTGTTTGTGGCTTTTCTGTGCTTGCCCTGTGGGGGTTTTCTGCTTTCATCCCTTCTCCCTATGGAAGAGGCACGTTACTACCTTGGGAACGAGCGCTGGTAGGTGGTGGTTGGAGATGAGGGTTGTCGCATGGCTGGAAGCTTTTTCTCGTTTGAGTTGCACGGTAGGATTGTGCTTTGCATTTGTTAATGAACCTGAATTCTTGGAGTTACTCTTGTTCCCTGGAACTAGGTTTCTAGGAGAGCAGAGGTGGCTTTGGAGGTGATAATCGGGCATTGGCTGAATACTTCCATCTGCAGAGTTTTTCTGTAATTTTTTTTTTCCCCTCTTTTCCGGGAGATTCTCTCCCACCCCAGAACCAGAGGCCTTGAGTGAAGCATCTTTCCCCAAAAGCATGTTAAATTGCGCAGTGAAGTATTGGTTTTTTTTAAAGGGAGGTGTGTCCCCAGGAGTTGCAGGAACTTCTCCAGGTGCCTTTAGACCAGGCAGGACCGTGCGTGGGTTTGTCTAAAGAAAAATCTGCTGATGGCAGCTCGGTTTGGCCACGCTGGGCATCACGGGGACGTCGCAGGGGGCTGCTCGTGGGACGTCGGTACCTGAAGGATTCGCAGCTTCCCGGCTCTCCCCGAACAATCCAGCTCTTGAACTTGGTGGGCGATGGCAGGGTGGGAGACTAGCAGGAGGCGAAATAACAAAGTGCTTTCTGTGCCACCGTGCATCACCTTGCAGGTCGCGGCAGCGGCTGCGGCGTTTTGCTGCCGTTTGCAGGTGGCTGAGGTTGTCCTTCCCCTGGAGATGCTGTGAAGACTCCGGGCCCAGGAGCTGCTGAGCTTTCCCTCGCTGTTTTATAACCACGTTGTCTCTATCAATACCTAATTTTTTATTGCACCCTGCAATGCATAAAGCTGACCCTATTACCTGGGTCCCATAGCACAGACCCGTAACGGCGTCTGAACGACCGGCGGTCTCAGCCGAGGGGCTCTTAGCGAAACCCTGGGGGCTGTTGTGACGGCGAAGGATCGCTCCCCGCAGGCAGGGGTGTGGCGGCGATGCTTCTGCCGACCTGCCCGCGCGTGCAGAGTTGCACCGAAAGCAGCTCTGCCTCCCCAGTAGCTGCTTGCAAAAGCAAACTGTCATTTGCTTGATGATTATTCCTGATTAATTGGGTTGGACTCTTGTTCCAAGAAATACGGGAATGTGACTACCCTAAGTTTTTTCCCCTTTTGCGGCTTGCAATAAAATGTGGGTTTCGGGTCGTGGTTATGCGGGGTCTTAGCGAACACAAGTCTAGAGGCTGGATTTGGGGAGGTTTTGCAGGGACAGCTCTGCCGTTCCTCTTGGCAGGCGTCCGAGCGGTGTTAGTGGCCGCGTGGAGCTTCTGGAGCCCTGAAAAGCAGCTTGTGATATTACAGCAGATCGCTGTGCTGCGTAACGTGGATCCAGCATCGCGTGAGAGCTCCGCGTGCGCGGGAAAAGTGAGCGAAAGCCGGGATGACAGCGACGTGCTGGCTCTCCGTGCGGGGAGGTCTCGGTCGAGCTTTGCCTCTTTCTCACCCAGACTGTTTTTGTGTGAGGCAAAGCAAAAGAAAGAGCAAAAACCGGGGTCTCCCGAAGCTGCAGAAGTGGGATTGAAGCATTGCCATGTCAAAGCCTACGAGGAAAACATGCGCTCATGTGTGCAGGAGAAGCGCATCCTGCATTCCTTCGGCTCCTGGGAGAATTTGTGCAGGGCGTAGCCTTTAAATTAATTTTCCCGACTGTCTGGGCACAGCAGGTTAGTGCTGGTCTTCCCCGTCCTCGCGCCTTCTTACAGGGATCGGTAACATCCGTGCTTCGTCCTGCCTCGGCAGCCTGCTCGGGCGAGAAATCCTTCTGCGGGAGGAAACGCCGTTCCTCTGCTAATGAGATGGAGCTTGCAGGGAAGTTCGTCCTCCGGGTTGTGTAATTTGCCTAATTGTGCGCACGTGCCTTGATGCGTTGTCGGGCATCCGCGCAGCTCTGTGTAACGTCTGATAAGTTGGGATTTGGGTGGGGAAGGGCTCTCCTGCTCGTGTTTGGGCAGCAGTGATAGGTGTTACTTGCACAGCGCTGGAGAAGGGTGGATATTTGGTCTCTTGAGACCAAAGGGTTAAAACCCTGTTAGGGTGGGAGCTGGTATTTGGCCAGATAAGTCCAGTTTTTCCTTGGGAAAGGTTTTTAATGTTCAACTAAAGGAAAAAAAAAAAAAAAGCTGATTTAACTCCTTCTTCCTTGCACTCCCATGAGCCCAAAGCCTGTAACAGGAGGGGTGGGCGACCTAACTCTTCAGCAGGGCTTAGTGCTTCGCTACCACCCTTCGAAGGGACCCGAATAGCTCTGTCCCCACGCCGCGTTTCACCTGGGGGGGTGGGATGGCACTGGGTGGCCCCAGCAGCCGATCCGCAGCTCTGCGGTCACGTCCGTGCTCAAGCGCATTTGCTCAGGCTCTGCGTCGGCTCCAGGCTCTGCTCGTGTGGATGGGTGGGAGGATGTTCTGGTTTATGCACTATGGAATAATTGCTCTATGGCTCAAAACAACTGCTGAGAGTCAGCTTCTGAGACAATTTTTATTAAATAACATGTCCATACGCTCAGGGGTATCACTGCTGGTTTTTAAAGTAACATTATTCAGCAAGTTCTTGTTGCCACGTGGCCTTCTGAGTATGGAAAAGTGTCCAAGTTTGCAGGGGAATGGAGACAGTGAGCTTTTTGCTAGTTGCAATGACCTGGAGACATCCTTCTCCCGGGAAAAGTTGGTAGCAGGGGGCTTGAACACCCTCACTTTTCCCAGCCAGCGCTGAGAGCGGCGTGACAGCATCCAGAGGATGATAAGCCCAAGTTCGTGCCAGCCGGAACAGCTCCGTGCTGCTCTCTGGCATGGTATGGAGCTCCCATATAATCATTTCCTATAACCTATAGCCAGGAAGATGCTTGGGCTGTTGCAGGTTAATGGTTTGTGGTGAAGCCATCCTGATGGCTCCCCAGGACTGTTCCTCCTGTTATTAAATGTAGGCTGGACAGGACTTTTGGCAAGAGACTTGTAAGGTATAAAAGAGGTGCCTGTGGTTGTCTCAGAAACCTGTGTCTGGTTCCTCCCGCGTCCCGTGGCGTGGGGACCCACGGCGTGGCCTGTGCCATCAGCGACGTGCAGCATCTTCTGACCTCTGCGGGCATCCCAAGCTCTCGGTTTGGGACGGGGCTGGCTGGTTGTGTGGTGCCCAGCACAAAGGGCTCTTGGGTCTGGGGGCTTGTCGATGAGTTTGGGGAAAGCTGGGGGTCCACCTCCTGCTTGGAGGGGAGGCTCTTTCCCCTGAAGAAAAAGAAAAGAACCCAGAAGGGCTCTTT